ACTTGGTAGCCCAGGCTGGCCTTGAACTCACAGAGATCCGCCTGGCTCTGCCTCCCAAGTGCTGGGATTAAAGGCGTGCGCCACCACCGCCCGGCACTTTCACAATCTTATCCAACAGCCAGGGGAGCTCTTCACTGACTTCCTGGCCCATGTCAATGAGACCGTAGAGCAGAGAGTGGATGCAGGCCCCACTAGAGATATGTTGATTAAACAGCTGCCTTGGGAGGGGCTCAGTGTCCAAACCTGTAATGTGGTTGCAGCTGTGCAGAATGAGGACACACATAAATGGGTGCAGGCCACCAGAGATCTCGACCCCGACACTGGTCCCATCGTCGCTATTACTGCCTCCCTGGACACTCTCCTCACTGACAGGCAGCTTGCTGATGACACCCCCAAGGGCTGCCAGGCAGACAGAACTTGCTGGGGATGTGGCAAACCAGGCCATTTGTGGTGTGACTGATCCTGGGCAAAACCTAGGACCCAACGCCCCAGATGCAATAAGGGATGTCATTGAGCAAACGATGGCAGGTCGCAGCCTGCCGAAACACCAACCCCTTTAAACTCCAGGCAGGGCACTTATCTGGGGTCAGAGACAGAGCAGCCACAACATTAAACATAAAGGATAGGCAGTGGTAGCACACGCCTTTAATCCTAGCATTCCAGAGTAGAAATCCATGTGTTCAAGGATACAGCCAAGCATGGTGACTCACGCCTTTAATCCCAGACAGCCGAGCCTTTAATCCCAGGGAGCGGTGGTAGAAAGCAGAAAGGTATATAAAGCGTGAGGACCAGAAACTAGAAGCATTTGGCCTGGTTAAGCATTTGGCTGGTTAAGCTTTTAGCTGGTTAAGCTTCAGGCTTTTGAGCAGCAGTTCAGCTGAGAGCCATTGGGATGAGGACACAGAAGCTTCCAGTCTGAGAAAATAGGACCAGCTGAGAACTTGGCCAGGTGAGGTTAGCTGTGGCTTGTTCTGTCTCTCTGATCTTCCAGCATTCACCCCAATAACTGGCCTCAGGTTTGATTTTATTAATAAGAACTTTTTAAGATTCTTGCTACAGGCCACTGTCCCCATGATATCCACCGTGACTGAGCCCCCTCCCCATTCCATTGACATGGCTCTCAAGGATGGGTGGAAGAGTGGCCTGTAATTGAACCCGAGCTGTCAATCCTAAAGGAATCAGTTGCAAAACAGCTAAAGACAAGGCACGTAGACCCATCCACAAATAAACATGACACCCCCATACTTGTTACCCCAAGAGATCAGATGCTACTGCCTCCTGCAGGATCTTCATGTAGTTAATGGTCTAATGGAAAAAATGGAGTCTACACTGCCAGGCCTACCCTATCCTAGCATGATTCCTCCTTATTATATATTAGTTTTAGATACTAAGTATTGCTTTTTTCAAATTCCCCTGGCACCGCGGGATCGAGATCATTTTGCCTTTACTGTATGGAAACCCAACCAAGAGATATCAATGGACTGTTTTGCCCCCAGGAATGGAGAATAGCCCCACTATTTGCCAATTATGTTTCTCAAGCTTTGGTTAATGTCCCCAGGGATGTCCTTTTGATCCATTATATGGATGATCTCCTCCTGTCACACTCAGATGCAGCCTTTCTGCAAAAGACTGCCAGGGGAGTATTAGAAGATCTTACATTGTTACATCTGATGGTGGCTCCAGATAAGATCCAAATGGTACCCCCATTTACCTTTTTAGGATTTCCCATTGCTAAGCAGGTCCACCCCTTTCCTTTAAATTGGAAATGAAGGAGTTGTACTCACTCTCAGAATTACACTTATGAGACATGGTCAATTGGCCTTAAACCTTTCTTACCCATCCCTGACCAAGAGATGAGACACCTCTTTCCATTGTTGGAGGGCCTCACCTGTCCTTCCACAGGTTAGGCTTACCTAAGAAGCTAACAAGTTGCTACAGAAGGTTTTGGTCATTCTAGTCACCTCCAGCCTGCAACACCATGATCCCCAAAGACTCTTACTGGCAATGGCTCTCTGGACACCCAAGGGATTTTTGGGAGTAGTATGGCAATCTGAACCCCTTATATGGATACATCAAGCATATTCTGACCTTCACAAGGTCACTACTAAGTTTGACCAGTCTTCCCAACTCGGCCTTAAGGCAAGGATGCTGGCACAGAGAACATGAACAAGAGCCAGATAAGCTTGTCTTCCCCTTTTCTTTATAGAACACCCAGTCCCTCTGGACAGATTCTACCTCATCCCAGGAAATAGTTGCAGGATTCACAGGAACTATTGACATTCATTTGCCAAAAAACAAGATCTTAGCAGAACTCCTCACACTTCCAATAAAGATATACAGGCAGCCCAGGAAAGGCACAAAGCTACACAGAGAAACCCTGCCTCGAAAAACCAAAAAAAAAAAAAAAAAAAAAAGATGTACAGGCAGTTCATGGGCTGGTCTTTCCTTGAGTCAAAGACTCACTGACTCCCATTGCCAGCACCATGCTGCTTGTACAAGGTGTCCTAAATTAGAGGACTGAGCCTTGGTACCTGTCACATGTTAGATCTCATTCCAAATTACCCGGAATATTGGCTCGAGGAAATGAGGTCACAGACACCATCATATTAACAGCCGGTGTGGATCTCCTAGAGCAAGCCAGGGCTTTTCACCACCATTTCCATCTTTCTCCACAGAATTTGCATAGACTTCTTCCAGAATTACTGGTTTCCCAATGTAAATGTTTGTCCTGGAAATGTGCACCTTGCACCCCCCCTTGATCCCTTAGGACCACTTCAGTGCACAGGA